GGAAAGAAAACATTATGACTGTTTTTGAAGGGTTTACTTCCTTTTCTGAGAAGCTGTTAAGAAGACACTTGTCAACAGTCATTAGTGCTGCACATTACAATAATTAGTCAAACAGAATTAAATATCTTCAACAGAAATAACACAGCAGTGGAGATTTCTGGTGTGGGGGGGGGGGGGGGGGGGGTTGACTCCATAACAAGAAAACAAGAAAAATGACCAAACTATTATACGTATCTAAGTTACAGCTAGTTGCAGTGTGAGACTCCATATGTTAGGTCTTAACTCACTTTGTCTCACTGAGATTTTCTGTAAATATATTTTTGCTGTTTCTGACCCAAATTCTGAATAGCGAAACGCAGTGTCAGAATTGTGAGAAACCTATAAGTTTTCATTTGGTTTTACTTGGCCGTGCCTAGTCCAACAAAACCATCTGTTGCACAAAAACCAATTTATTATAATGCACTGCATTTGCATTCCACCCTGTCATGGTCAACCGCTGCACCACAGTATCCAGAATAAAGTATGTTAGCTCTGGTAAATCGGATCATAACGTCCTGTTCTGTTGACTCCAAACATCCTGTCCAATGTAATACGGTCCAAACACGCTGTGACTGTTGACGGTCATAATTAATGACGTCCCATTAAAGGCTTGTGTTTCCACTTAATGCTTATATATGCGCTGACATGTCCTATTAAAATCACACTCTTCCTCCAATCCCCTGGTGAATATGTAGAACAGAGAAGGGATCTGAGGGAAGGCGTTACTTTTATGTGTTAATTCCCTCTGTTTCTTGTCATTTTGTTGTTCTTATTATTACAGTGTTATAACACCTTTCAAACCGCTGCCTGGGCAGAAACTGACAGCTTTCTCTCCAGGCTGTCATATTGAGACTTTGTCAGAGTGTGGAGCGGCTGCATGACAAAATCAATACTTGACGAATATGAAGGAAACTCAGAGAGAGACGTTACATGATCAGTTAGCTGACGCACCAGCCAAAGCAGCTGCTGTTTCTCAGCGTTTCTGCACCGTCCTGTAATGACCTATTGATTTACTGTTGTTGTTGTAGTAATCTGTTCAGTAAATGTTTATACCCTTCAAATAATAGACCTACAGTTGGCAATATGTGGCCCGCGGGTCGAGTTCTGTCACAGCGCAAAAAAAAAATCTCTGCTCTGCCAGATAATATTGAGAACACTGGATTATTATTACTCAATTAGGCCACACGGGGGCAAATGCTGTTAGCTAGCATTTCAGCAAGATGATCGAAAACTCTCCAGTTCAGTCCCCGGTTTTTCTTTTTTTTCTTCATACAGATAACAATTTAGTTTGAATGGAGCCTGGATTGGCCTGTAGGTGTGAATGATGTGAGTGTGAATGGTTGATGATGGAGAGGCGAGGGAAGGTTTTGGGGTGTATTTCTGGCCAATTAGCTTATTCTTTCTTTTGTCAGGAGCTAACTCTGGGTGTTAGCCTTTAGAGATATTTGTCTTGTTTTTGCTCATACTCTTGCTGTGCCGCACTTTCTTTCCAATTTTGCACAATCTTTTAACTTTTTTTTCTTTAAATACTTAAATACTACTTATTTTTTGGTAATTGAACGGCAAGCAGCTTGCCTAACAGAATCAACTGCATATATTGTTGTTTGGAGTAATTTGGGCTTTTGAAAATTAAAT